TACACAGGAAATACACAACATGTTGCAATGTTTCGAAATCATGTTTCATGTGATATAAGTTCAAGAATGGATGCATGATGCTCATGTTCATGAAATGTAGTGCAAATGTGGAAGCCAAACACCTGGGGTGTTACAGTATTCTTACAGCTTCAGTAGGTGTCTGAGGGCAGAAAAAGATGTCTGAAATATGAATACATCTAGTGAAGTTATTATACTACATATAACTGCACCCACGGATGTAAAAAAAATTAGTCAACACCTTGTAGCAAATGAAAAGCATGAATTCACATGAAAGCAGATAGTGATTTTTATTTAGCTCTGTCAATTTACCAATCTCCGCATGAATTGGGCCTTTCAGAGTCTTGGAAGAAAAGTTCCTACGCAAATACCAACCTATCACAATTGTGTACAATTCAACACCAACTCACAAATGCTATGCAACACTATCAAAAGGGTAATGAAAAGCTCAGAAACACAGTAAAGTAGTGCAACTTTTGCGGATTAGTAGATTATTTGAAAACAAAGTAGTGAATTAAAGTAGTGCAAGTAAGTTGATACCTAAAATTGGAAAACAAAATAGTACAGTACATAGATTAGTCCAAAAATGTAAGTTTGCATTTTTATTATGGTTTTCCAAATCTTAGTGACAACAAACCAACTCCCATGAATAATATGTGCATGGCTAGACCAGCAGTAAATGCACATTAGGAAATTTACTTATCATGCCAGAATACAAAATTATGGTTTTCTTTTCCATTGACTCGGCTGCTTTTCCAGATCTGGTGAACTACAGCAGTAAATGAACATTAGGAAAATTTACTTATCACTAGAACATTAGGCGCCCTGTCATGACGGCAACAATAGAAATTTCTATGCATTTCAATAAACATGGCCAAACAATTACACAACCATGAAATTGTAAAGCCTCAAGCATATGATGGTACCAAGATCTAAAATAGGCACAAGAAATTATATAGATAGAACTCGTTCCATTTCAGGGGCATGACAAACTTCAGTAAAATGCTCAATTACAGAGCATATAAGTCAAAGTTAATCGTACTCACTCTGAGATGGAGACATGGAGCTGGGATGAAACAAATGAGTGTTTGTTGGTCCAGGAACGATCAGATCTATGACGATCCTGCTATCTTTGATTGACTAATGACTAGAAAGGCAGGGCACAATACCATGGCAAATCTCTTTATAAGATGGCAAATTATGTTTTCCTACTAAGAGCCCATGAGTGGTTGATTTAGAAACAAAGTTGCTAAATTCACTAATTTGGAACAAGGGCATAGCCACGACACAATCTGAACACTAATTTTGTGATTATATTATCTGAACAAACTGGTAAAAATAAAATCTTGGAATCATAAGAAGCGACTAAAAATGAAACATTGGCACACTCATTTGTTTATCACCTCACACAACCTTGACTTTAGCTAGCGAAGATAAGTACAAAGTGTTTTCATATATGTTATCATCAAGATACACACGTGTTCCAACCACAATCGTTCACGATAATATATCTATAGTTCTTTTCCACTATTACGTGATGCTATCATGCTAGTAACATTTTGAGCAAAGCAGGTTTCAGAGCACAAAGGCAAAGCAAGAGCGGTGCAGATGGTGCTTTGAATTCTATCGTATGAAAGGAGCGATGAGGTTTTAATAAACCTAATACCAAAATACAAAGTTTGGTTTTTCTTTTCCATTGACTCATCTCGCTTGTCCAAATCTTGGCTACACTAAGGAACAGTAGTAGGAACAAAACAATAGCATCAGTGAGATTCGCATGATCTTGGAATGAATAGGGGGTCATCGATATCAATTACCATGGATAATCAGGCTCGCCTATAGGTGCGGGATCCAGAGAATCTAACCAAGCAATGACAAAGTGATGTAGAGTGGAATAATCAAAATTGAAATCTCAAGAGAATAAGGCCTGTTTGGTTGAGCTATGGTCGTGGGAAAAAAAAGTGTTGTGAAGGGTGTGAGTCGTGGAAAAGCTGTTGTGGGGTGTGAGCTGTAGAAAAAGTGAAAAGTTGTTTGGTTAAACAAGTATAAAATATACCTTTTATCTTTATCTCTCTTGAAACAACTATGGAAAAGCTTTTTATTCCACCAATTTCGAAAAGCAGAAAGCCAAAAGCCAAAAGCAGGGTCAACCTAGCTTTCAAAAATGAACTACGGAAAAAGCAGCTACTTCTGAAAAAGTATCCTCCAAAAGCAGCCCCTTTAGTTGGGCTTTTGGCTTTTGGGGCCAAAAGCCAAAGCCAAAAGCCCAACCAAACAGGGCCTAAATCCATGATATCCTCATCCGGATCTCCTATCCCCAAGTAGCAGCAGCAACGGCAAATCCCACCCCCACCTGCAGCGGATCAGATCAGGACCAAGGGGACCTACAAGGCAGGGAGAAAGGCACAAGCGGTTGGTTACCTGGTGCTGGAAGATGGGGTGAGCGGGGAGGTGGGGGAGGACCATGCCCTGTGCCTCGTGGCTATCAGTCAGTTGGGCGGCGGGATGAGCTCGAACAAAGTAGCAGCGGTGGTGATGGCGGCGGCGCGCTTCTCTTCCCGAGCACTGCTCTTCTCTTCCTTCTCCTTGGGCTGCTCCTTTGAGCTGCGCGTTGAATCAAGCTCGATTTGGGGGAAGATGAAGGGCTGGGAACCAGTGGAGGGGCGACGGGGGAATTTGGTCGGCCGATGTCAAGTTAGCGGGTGGCGGAGAATTGTGGCGGCGGCGGCAGGAGTTTGGCACAGACCGTGGAGGACGGCGGGACCGAGGGGAGGGTGGCGGCGGCGGCTGGGGAGTTGGTGCGGGCGATGGCTGAAAAGGTGAAGAGCTAGGGTTTGTAGAGGAGGGGCATCTGGCCTTAAAATTTTTTTCGAACGAGCTTTTTTTTCAGTAGCGCCAAGGCATGACCCTATAGCGACCCGAAGGTATGTCTTTTTTACCGCTTTTATGCCGATCGATGGTTCAACATTACAAAGCTAAATATTTTTAGCGACCAATAGTTCGTCTCGAAAAAGTACATTTACCGACACTTAGTCGTGGGAGCGATTATAGCGACCAACTGTTCAACGGTATTACTGAACTTATAACGACAAACACGTGACACTATATCAGTGTTGTGGTGTAGTGTTCATGGAGGATCCCCGAGAGGATCACTGGACTACGATGAAGCGGCTGCTGCGCTACGTCAAGGGGACGGTGGATCAGGAGATCGTCTTCCCCAAGACTGGTGGAAGTGGACCACAGCTTACTCTGTTCAGCGATGCAGACATGGCAGGGGACATCGACGGACGGCGGAGCACCTTTGGCATGCTTGTCTTCCTCGGGTCGGCTCCAATCTCATGGTTGTCGCTGAAACAGAAGGTGGTGACGCTGTCCACATGCGAGGCAGAGTACGTGGCGGCGGCCACAGCGGCGTGCCAAGCTGTGTGGCTGCACCGGCTGCTGGGCGAGCGGACCAGTGTGGAAGCTCACCCACCATCACTGATGGTAGACAACCAGCCCGCCATCGCTCTTGTGAAGAATATGGTTCTCCACGACCGGAGCAAGCACATCGACGTCAAGTTCCACTTTCTCAGGGACTGTGTCGATGGAGGGTAGATCATCATCGAGTTCGTCGAAACTAGTCGGCAACTTGCGGATGTCCTCACCAAGCCGCTCGTCCGTCTTCGGTTCACGGAGCTGAAGAAGATGATCGGCATGGTGGAGGTTCTAAGGTTAGCAGCAGGATTAGGGGAAGAATTGTTAAGTAATCTGCTGCTCTCCTCCGTACGGTGCGGCAGGGGCAGGCGCCGAAAGGGCTCCCCTGCTGCTACACTGTAGCGCTACAGAGGCAAGCGTCCAAAGGCTCACCTGCCGCACTGTATCCACAACAGGGGCAGGCGCAAAAGTCAACCCTGCTGTTACATCTAATCACTATAGCAGCATGACAGCCTGACATGTTTGTGCACTAGGATTAGCTTGATAGAGTTGTATATATAGTTTCTCACTGCAACTCAGTAAAGAGAGCAAGTTCGGGTTTGCCATCTTCTCTGCAGAGCTCCGGCCAACGCTGATGCTTGTACTGTGTGTGTGCGTTCTGTTCTACCTCCCTTCTTCTACCTCTTGTCATAGTGTGTGGTCGGTAACGCCGGTGAGTGGTCGGCTCACCCATGTAGAAGATCCAGGGGCCAACAATATGGAAGATCACAGTAGCTAAGCAAGAGTATATCTCGAACTAGTTGCGAATGAATTTCAGAAACCATAGAATCTCGTACTTGCTCCCATTGGTCTATATCATTAGATTTATTAGCTAACAAACTAGCTACTGTATTTATAGCTAGTGGCAGACCATGGAATCTTTTTATTATTGACAGAGAGACTTCTTCTAGATGAGGCGGGCAGGAGGCCTGCCTTTGAAAAACTCTGTTATAAAACAGCATTGAGGAGTCCTGGTCACTTAGAGGTTGAATGTTGTGAATATATCCTTCATAACTTGAGCAGCATGATCTGGCTACATCAGAATGTCTTGTAGTAGTTATTATTCTACTACGCAATTTATTCTCAGGTAAAGCAGACTTCACAAATTCCCATGCGATTGTGCTCCAGATATCATCAACAATGATTAAGTACCTATTTGAATGTCAATGGCATTAGTTTCACAAGATTGAGTAACAAATTTCCATTGCTAGTATATATGATTGTATAGACACTTGGCTATTGCAGATCCACAACAGAATTCTATAACAAATTCAACTATACCACTACCTGCTTATTGTAAACATTGATCATAAATTTATTAAATAAATTTTATAACATTAGTATTTCTGAATGAAATATATTCTTTGCAGTACCTTCCTATAATCACAAACAATTGTACTGTCTTTTGTTTAGACTTGATTGTGGTAGACTGGTATCTAAAGGGAGCAGCAGACTGCCCTCTTTTTTCTGTTCATATCATAAGACTGAATATTTCTATCAAAATAGACATACGCTGCTAGTATTTCTTACCTTTTATCTTGTAGGTATGCTCTGACCTCATTTATGAGTTGCCGCTCATCGTCGTCTGATGATGAATGACTCTTACTACTACCCAGTTCTGTAAGCAGATCACGGAGTATCTTCTTTATGACGGGACTTCGCGAAACTGGTACAAAAGCTGTACAATCAAATTGACTCTTGATTTTGCGATACACTTGGTTCGCAAGAGTTGTTTTGCCGAGGCCTCCAAAACCCACAATAGACACCACTCTAAGCTGTTGTGTTGAGTCGTCTTTCATCAACCAATCCATGAGATTCTGAATAGGACCGTCGATACCAACAAGTTTCTCTGCTTCCACATACAGCGCTGGCAATCGTGGATCAATCTCCACTTTGCCCGCGGTGGAGATCGATTCGTTGTACTTGTATCTCAAGCGACGCTCACTCTCCTCAACTACACGAGCCTTGAGCTCGTGAATCTGGTTAGCCATCTGGAAGCCTGACCATAGCTTTTTAACCTTACCAATTATCTTCTTAACAAAATTACCTGCCTTGGCGGCGTCGCCATGGTTGAGCTTCTGCATAAACATGTCAATGCAATCTTCGATATCATAGCTTAGTTCCCGTATGTTGTCCCTCCAAACCTGTACCTGCACGTCAAGTTTCTCCGCTGCTGCCAGCTTCTCAAGCAGGGCGTTCATGCTGCTGAGCTCGTTCCACAGAAAAGCGATGTCGGACTTGGTGCCTCCAAGGAGCTCATACTCCCCATCATACTCCCCATCAACCATTGCAGAGAGCATGGCGAGCAGGGAGTTCATCACCCCTGTTGAAGCACTCGCCAGGGTTTACAATTTCGGCGAAATATCGTCGAAATTTCTGAAATATCGTCTTTTTCGCTGAGGTCCGAATTTTTTTTTTATCGGTCAAAATTTTTCGGTTAAATTTATCTTTCACTCTAAAATTACACCAAACCACACTAAAATGACCCTCCATATCATCTAGTCTTTTCAAAGCCCTAAATTTCTTCAAATTTATTTAATTTTCTCACTTACACATTGGACGGCTCTAGTATATGCAGCTCGCCCACCGTCAGCACACTGTATTACCGCGGCTCTACTTCTGTGATATATTATGTTATTTCGTCGATGTTATATAAATTTATGATGAATGATGGATTATAGAGTTTTTCTAGTGAAATGATGCCAAATTTGTTTAAAACTCAATTTAAATTTATTTAAATTTGAACCGATATTTTTGAAATTTCCGAAATTTCGTATTTATTGCTTGGACCGAATTTTTTTTTCTTACCGGCATTGTAAACCCTGGCACTCGCTAGTGCCCCATCCATCTTCCAAACGACGAACAATTCTTGGCTTGCTCCGGCGCTTGTCCGCCGTGAGGCAGTCAGCACTCAGCAGGGATGGATCTCAACCTGGCTGCTGCTACCTGGGGCACTTCACTTGGGCTGTTACGGCCACCGGATCGAGTTGCAAAAGAACTGGTTGCTGAGTTGTTGCTTTCCGGATCTGTGACGTCTCTGCAAATTGAGAAGCTGGGATTGGGATGGGAATTGCAAGGGAACGGTTTAGTATATGGTTGTGAACTTTCGCCGACAGTGTTCTAGGCTGCTGCAATAATGTAGAAGCTTGGCGGCAGGCAGTTTCCAGCGAGACTAGTACCGGAGACTGGACCACGGCAGGACAAGCTTGCGTCGAGAAATTCTGAAATCGAACGCCTATATACGAGGACAAGAGAAGCTTGACCAACCCGTTCCCATCGTTGACTGGCTGGGCCATTTACGCGTTCCTGTGCAGACGTGTTGAACTGTACTAGGTCACTGATCAGTCATTCTAATACTCCTTGACAGCGAAATCATAGGAGTTGAGCGCCACTGCTAGTCTGCTACCACGTATACTGTTGGAGAGACAGTGGTGAAAGATTTTTTTTTTGGCCTGTTTGCTGTGCTGCAGCAGCCAGCTAGCTGCTGCTGTGTTCACCACCCATTCAGTTAGAGTATTCCTTCACTAGAAACCAAAGAGCAGCAGTAGCTTAAAGCCAGCCAAACAAACAGACCTTGAAGGATGACATCTTGAAAATCTGATTGCAGTGCGCAATCCATCAAAACTTTGTCAGGCGCATTGGACGTGGATATATCATATATGTGTCCGTTGATTAGCAGTGTTGCTTGTATTAGTTGCTAGCTGTGTCGTAATGTTAGGTGCTGGTTTTATATAATTATTAATTTAAGCTTGAACTTTGTTTATCTTTGCGCGAGACTAGTCTTACAAGGATCATTCGCTTTTTTGGTATCTTTTCCTCCATCTTAATAAAAAACATGCTTAGCCACTGTCGCGGATCGGCTGTCTGTTTTGTGCTGTGGCTGCCGTTGTGGTTGCAATTTTTCTCCTATTCAATACTGTAGCTACCGAAGACTTCCCTCCTGCTGCAGCAGCGACACCTGTAATAAGCACAGCCGACCAGGCTTATTTTCGTAGGGATCTCCAATGCTGGTGCCAAATCATCCGCTAGTTCCTTAGCTGCTCAATCAATTCCCTCCTTGGCACATCTAATGAACACCACAAGACTAACTACTGTAGAAAGCTTGACGCAAATCTTTGGTCGATAGCGGCTTATGAACCTTTGGTTAGAGGCGGTGCAACTGGCTTTTACCATAGTGTTTGTCGCAGAACCGACCAATTTATAAGAGTACAAGTACAATGGCAGCCCGCAAGCGGTCGCACTGTCATACTTGAACCCATATAAACCCGATAGTCCGTCGAGTACCACGACGGGTCTCGATAAACGATTTACAACAACCAAGATCGTACATGATTCAACTTACATGCCACATATTACATAAAGTTCACAGATATATTTCTCCATCAGAGTACGAATAAAAGTTATTACAAACCGAGTTTGATAGATAAAAGCGGAAGCAAATTAAGTTTGAAAGTAACGTTTCCAACATAGTTTAGTACAGTGCCAAGATACGATCACGGTCCACAAAAGCATGTAGAAGGATTAATAAGAAGCCTGCCCAAGGCTTACTCCTCATCCACAGCGGGATAGAAGCAACTCTTGCAATAACCATGATATACAGTGCCATCTGCAACATGGGAAATAAAACCCTGAGTACGAGAAGGTACTCAGCTAGACTTACCCGCCATAAACCAGAAATAAAATGACTCCAAGGATTATGCAAGGCTGTATAAGTGGAGATAGCTTGACAATATTTTGCATAAAAGCAATTGACTTATTATACAATTCGGATTTCTTTTATTAATTACTTATAACTATCCATCTCTAGATTAGCAACTATCCTGTGCCAAACATGTGGTATATCCATTTAAAAGCATACAATAGTAACCATAGCAGGTATTGTAATTCCATATTCATTCGAACCATCATGTTCCATAACACAGTTACTACGATGTTGGGACTAGCCAAGTTTCTCACTATCCGGGAGAGACGGCGATTCGAATCGATTTCAACCAGCTGGGAATTTATTCCTAACACAAACCCAGGTCTACCAGCCACGATAGCCTTAGGTCACCTTTGGTACAACTCAGGTACACATTTCGCGGGTCCGTACTGCGCCGCACAATCTGGGACACTAGATGCCAGGACGTTCAGGCCTAGCCTGCCCTTGGGCTCAGTCTGATCTCCCCCCGCAAGGAGCGCACAACAAAACGGGTCCCGGCCTGAGTTGAATTACTCGGCTTCGCGGTCGGAACGAGTTATCCGGCCAGCTAAGTGATAGGCATGCGTTCAATCTTGTCAGAAGCGCCAACAATGGTACGGTCCTTAATCGACACAGACGGGGATAGATTCACACCCAAGACCTCCATGTCTTGTTGCTTCTCTATCGACATCCCGCTCGATCTCCATTTACATTAACCATGGTTCTTTTCCACGATAGCAATTATAACCAACCGTGCTCCGGTATCCACCTATATCTCGCAGGTGACAGGAAATCACCCGACTTCTACCGGTCCAAGCATGGCTAAGCATATGTTCGATCCTGGACCTATACCGGTTAAAGGTGTAATAGCTGGACAAGGAATGTATATGCATCAAGTGGTTTCATTCAACTCTTATAACATAATGCATCAATCATAAGTACTTAAGTAATCATTTGTAAAATACTAGGAGACTTAGAATGCTTCGGGGCTTGCCTCGCAGAAAGGAAGTAGGGCGATGATCAGGACACTCCGGAAGCTCTTCAGGATTCTGCTCCACGCCTTCGGGAGCTGCGGCTTAAGGATTCTCCGGCTGGTCCCCTTCCTCTGCTTCTTCGAATTCCAGCAACGTTATTTCTTCCTCCGATCCTAGATGCATGAATATGGCATAAGTATTACGAATGCATATATGTTATCAAGTGCATCATGTTTATTGAGTAGGTGCATATCTCTTGTCGATTATTTAATTACTACTTCCACAATGCATCTACTATATCACAAAACAACAGCTACTTGTTTTACTCATAACAGGAGTTCTACTAATCCAAATGCAGTGATCCTGGACTTTCTGGAAAGCTTATCGAATTATCTACAACTTTGTTATTAACCATTTTTACAGAAAACCTCATCTCTATCATGCAACTTAGCAAACTCCAGAATCTGTCCGGAAACTATTCCAATTCGTATTATAAAGTAACAATACTTCTACTTCATATAAGTATTCAAATCTTTACGACCAAAAGTCTACCAGCAGTTTAAGCATACCAAATACATCTAAGAAAACATAATGGTGAAGCCCAAACTATTTATTTAAATACCTTTATTATTTTATTTGAACCCCTAGGTTAAATAATAAACCTATACCAAATGTGCATCATAAATTCTCAGAAAATTACAGTGGCTTACTAGTGCTACCAATAGACTACTGTAAAAATTTAATACCATTTTGCCAAGTAAAACATCCTATACAAAAATGACAAGGCAGCAAGGCTTGAAATAGCATAAATAGAAAACCTTAGTGAAAAGTGTCGAGCAACAGATTTCCTATTTTTCTTAGCATCCTTATGGTACTAGGATGACCTCCAACAAATTTCATGAATATTGGATTCCTAAATAATTTATAAAAATTTACACAAGGATCTCCTAATTATAAAAGAAAAATCTATAACTACAAATCTACACATGCACTCATCTTCAAATTTTTACCAGAGCTCATATATGCTAAGACTATCTTACCACAAAAATTTCATAATTTTTGGAGCATAGGAACTCTAGATATAAAATAAACCAATTTGCATGCATTCAAAAACACATTTCAAATCCCTATTTAAATCTCCAAAAATTTCTACTGTAAATGTCAAGAACATATTTTTTCTAAATACTACACTTCCTAAGGAACACTACCAAATTTATTTCACAATTTTTGAAGCTACCAAACTAAAGATACAAAAATTACAAAACATATGAAATCTGCATTCAAAATGAACTGGCTTTAATTACAGGAACTCTAGATATAAAATAAACCAATTTGCGAGCGAACGTTAGAGTGTTGAAGCCACGCTCAGGCGTGTCGTGGCCTGCGCGGTCAGGGCAACGGCGACGCGCGGCCACCGCGACCTCCACGCGGCGCTCGGTTCCTGCCGGTGTCGGCCACTGAACATTTTGATTCAGCCTATTCAGACAAGAAATGCCGAGCCTGACGACGTGTTTTGATGTTCATCTAACTGCTAATCCATAGCTCTATTGCGTAAACCATCTAAATGGAACTTGTAGACCGATGTACCATCTACAACTTTCGTTCAAGAATCTAGTTCTAATTCACAACCGAGACAGAGTAAAATCATGCTTAAGGTCAGCTT